ACAAGGCGGTGATCCTTTGCTGGAGATTATGATTGATATATATATATTGAAATCATTTGTCAACTTGGAAACAGGAGCCCCCGGTGGCGCAGTGGGTGGAACCCCTGTGCCGGCAGGACTGAAGACCGACAGGTCGCAGGTTCAAATCCGGGGAGAGCGTGGATGAGTTCCTTCTATCAGCTCCAGCTCCTCATGCGGGGACATGAGAGAAGCCTCCCACAAGGATTTTAAAACATCACAACATCCGGGTGTCCTCTGGGCAATGTCCTTCCAGATGGCCAATTCTCTTACACCAGAAGCGACTTACAGTTTCTCAAATCGCTCCTGACACGACCAAAAAACTTGGAAACAACTAGAACTCCCACTAGAAATTCAATTTTATTTACAGAAAGGGTAAGTCTTTCCTTCCAGGGTGAATAAACAGTAATTCCATAATGAAATTATCATTTCCAGCAGCCAAAACATGAAGTGAAGAAAATGTTGTTTACCAAAAAATCTTACTTTAGCCACATGGAGTTGCTGCAAATTTCACCTTCTCCTTACCGATCTGTAATTTTTAAATGCAATCAAGACATTCTGCTGCAATGGCTTTTTGGACATATGCAAATTTGAGAGTCTATTTGTGTGTGTTGGTATCATTTTAAGGCCTTGTGTAATTCTGTGAAATCTGCTGGGTCAAGTGTCTCATCACAGCTGGGATCAAAAAGATTGTGTTGATGGCAGGCTTTTTTATAATTGTAACTGAATTAAGATGTTGCTCTTCTGCAATATAATCTATCTGGAACTTGTAGATGCAAATACTGTCCCACCAGCCAGTTTGCCATCCTCATCAAGCAATTAATTTCAAACACTATTCAAACCTGTAGCATCCTCATTTCAGGATAGACAAACTAGTCACCTCTACCTAACAGCCTCTTAGATGCATGGCTTTTGCAGTACTTAATTAGCTTTAATTCAGACAAGTGGGTTTAATTTCATTCTTCAGTTTCCCCCCACAGAGTCCAGCTATTGATTTCTTCCATCCTGAGTCTGTCCAAAGTTGATGCCCCATTGTTTTCCCACTTGAACTTTGTAAATGCCCTTGTGGCATGACACTCAGTGCATCTTTTGCTGGAGGGACCCAATGTAGACAAACATTCCCTCATGTGGCTCCAAAATCTACCAGTACTTTGCTTGCCTTACAGACTGTTCTTCACAATACCTGTGAGAATCTCTATTCTTCACATTTCCAGAATCAATAATACTCTACTGCTTGCACCCCTTCACTGAATTCTTTGCTCACAGTGAAATACCCATTGAGGATTTTGCAGAACTTAATCACACTTTGAGTGCAAAAAAAATCTGTCCTGGTCATCAGAGGACCACCTGTACAAGTACAAGCCATGTCTCAGAACTTGGGATGGAAATACACTGAACCATGAAAGATAGCACAAGCACAAGTTCATATATTAATCAGTCACCACTATGCTTATGCAAAACATCCTTATATTTCCAGATTCATAGGGTTCACAAATCAGTTTCTCTGTATATGTGAACAAGGATACTTGGTAACAAGAGCAAAGGTAAGGCAACAAATTTTAGGCAACAAATTAAGGCAAGGGACATGATTAGATTATTTTTAGATCACGTTGCATTCTATCATGGTCCCACAACTGTATAAATATGCTTTATACTTAATATCACTCTGTACCGCATCTGAAGAAGTAGGTTTATATCCATGAAAGCTCATGTTGAAATAAAAATCAGTTAGTGGGTTGTTGTAGGTTTTTTGGGGGCTATATGGCCATGCTCTAGAGACATTCTCTCCTGACGTTTCGCTTGCATCTATGGCAAGCATCCTAGGAGGTAGTGAGGTCTGTTGGAACTAGGAAAAAGAGTTTATATATATGTGGAATGACCAGGGTGAGACAAAGGACTCTTATCTGCTGGAGCTAGGTGTGAATGTTTCAACTGACCACCTTGATTAGCATTTGATGGCCTGGCTGTTTGGTGTGGCTTGTTAGTGACTGGGGCAATTTTTTGTTGAGAGGTGATTAGATGTCCCAGATTGTTTCCTCTCTCTAAAAACCAGTTAGTCTTAAATGTGTTGCTACATTCCTTGTTTTCTTCCCTTTTCTTTCTCTTTTTAATGCTGTAAGAGACTAACATGGATACTTCTTTAAAAACTAGGAACAATTTGATATCCTTTTCTTTTTACCTTTATATCTTTCAATTCATCACTATATAGTTTTTTGCACTTTTTTACCCACTTGTTGATATCTCAACTCTATGGTCTGTAGTCACTGAAAAGAGATTGATGGTAAGAGCTGACAACCACATTATGGCAATTTCTGTAGAAGCTGGTAATTCATTGTGTATATACACGAGTGATACCTTTTTCATTATGAACAATTTTAAGCAACAGAAAAGAGGCCAATTTCAATTGGACTCACTGAGACACATCGGTTACTATTTTATTTTTGCACTCAGAGGCGGCCCTAGGTAATTTTCAATGGTAAGCAAGCAGTATTTTGCCCCCCCCCCCCAACCAATCACTGATATATTTTTTTCTGTTCATCGTGGGAGTTCTGTGTGCCATATTTGGTTCAATTCCATCATTGGTGGAGTTCAGAATGCTCTTTAATTGTAGGTGAACTATACATCCCAGTAACTACAACTCGCATATGTCAAGGTCTATTTTCCCCCAAGAGTGCATCAACAGCGCCCCTGGGTAAAATCAACTATACTGCAAATGCTTACTTTGCGTAATGAATTGAGCCGCCCCTGATTGCACTGGTATAGTGCACAGAGAACTCAAACAATATAATCTCTTTTCAGTGAATATTCAGTGTGGAAACACAGAATACATTCCATATAGATAGCAATTCAAGATGGGAAAGAAAGTAGTTATAAATGAGCAACACTGGAAATGAAAGCTGCTCTTTCTGACCAAAAATGTATCTTTTCAAGCTGACCAGACTGGCTGACATTAATAAAACAAGTTACCTACTAATTTTAACTGCACTAACTCAAGAGAAAAGACCACTTTAAACAGCAAAGAACAAAACAATTTGGACTAATGTGTATAAATACAAGTCAGTTATCCTGCCCCCCTCCCCAAACCAAACTGGCTGTTATCAATTCAGAGAATGTATCCTAAAACGTTGTTGGGAGAAAAGGGCGGGGAGGCAGGAAAGTCAGGAAGATAAGATACTCCAGCATGTCTACTGAATCAAGGGCAAACCAAGCCAGAGGGAAGATTTTCATTGCAGATTCAGCCAGTCATACAGAGATGTAGCTGTGAGCACTTGCCTAGCCTGTCCATCAACACCTCTGACCTTTGTTAGCTACTTTAGACTCGCAGACACATTTGTAAAAGCACAATTTGGAATCCATAATGTGAAGCCATGCTTTCAGAACTAGTGGTGAAACAGAATTCAGTCTGTTTACCCTCCAGACATGTTAACTAGCAAATTATGGAAGACTAGAAAGGGGGAAAAAAACCCAGAATAAACACATCTCTTTGATATCGCTCTTGGAAGAAGGAATAGGAAGGCATACGTCAAAATTAGAATGAAGTAGTCATTAGGAACGGTGTAGGATTTTCTTTTCTTTTCTGACATAACATCAGGTAGAATTGAAAACTCTCGTCTTTAATAAATTTAAGTTCGTGTTAGAGCAATCAGATAATTTATTTTCTGATAAGAGATGAATATGTTAAACCTAATAAAAAGGATGGTGAGATCTAATAGTAAAATCTAATTTCTAGTTGGAAATACAAGGAACACCCTGTAGAGTGGCCTCACGAAATCAGCTAAAACTTAGTAAAACAACATTTTCATTGTTTCGGTTTCATTGATTCAAGGGTCTAAGGCAAAGGAAAAACCTCTCTGGATAAATATTGTCATGAAAACCTCATGATTGGTTCGCTTTAGGAAACAACGTGATGGCACACCAACAACACAAACAATTCTAGGATTAATAATTACCTTTCAAAATACTAAGTATGCATACTCAAATTGAGCCCCCCCCCCCCCCGTTAAACCGCTGAGCTGCTGAACTTGCTGACTGAAAGGTTGGTAGTTCGAATCCAGGAGTGGGGTGAGCTCCCGCTGTTAGCCCCAGCGTCTGCCAAACTAGCAGTTCGAAAACATGCAAATGTGAGTAGATCAATAGGTATTGCTACTGCAGAAGATAATGGTGCTCCATGCAGTCATGCTGGCCACATTAACTGGAAGGTGTCTAAGGATAATGCCAGCATTTCGACTTAGAATTGGAGATGAGCACCATCCCCCAGAGTTGGACACAACTAGACCTTTACCTTATACACAAATGGTATTTCCTGAAATTAATTGGAAGATCTGGAGTTTATTATTTAGAACTTAACGCTGGCCATATCCAAATATGAGTCTGCATTTGTTTCATGCCAGTTATAGCCATTTCCTTCATCAGAGGAGCTTCTGACCATTAGCTTCTGGCAACATGAAAACACTGGGCACCTACCACTTAAGGTTAGAAATCTTTGCAATTTAAATTAGTGAGAAAACATGGTGCCTGGCTATGAGGATAGTTCCCAGAAGTAAGTATTAGTAATTGCACTCATCATTGCAGCTTAACTCCATTCTGGTGAAGATTATTTCTGCTGCTTTTACCTACTATATCTGCTAAACAAATGCTTGAATACTAAAAAGGGATCTAGAAAAAAAGAGATCTTACCAAAACTAGCTCTAGTGAGCTATTATCGGAAATATAAGCTTGGCACTGAAATGGGCTTCAAGATACCCTGAGTGAAGTTACAATGTTCCTGGACACCTATTAACCCACCCCTGCTTGCTGTTCAGATACAGCAAATGAAAACAGTAGGACTCTATATACACCGAGTCCTTCATTAAACTATTGATCCCCTTTAGCATTATCCATAATGTTCCAGCGACTCAGCATGTCAACTGGTGCAGAGCTAGTCTCTTTTCTTTCAATAACTTCCACAGTTTACAGAAAGGATATCACAATGATTTATTTACCTGACATTTTCCAGTCCGGATGTCGTAGAGGGCCACTGAACCATGGCGAGATCCAACCGCTATTCTGTGACTCCGCTCATAATAGCTGACCATGTAGAACCTGAAATGAACGTTAGAGAGAGGAATAACTGAGATTTAATCAGAACTACATGTAACATAAAACTGATTTTTTACTGCATTCTAGTAATTAATGGCAATGTTAGATTGAACATTTTATTATACAAACTGGTCCCAGAAAATCACTTCAGCTGTGGTCACAAGGCAGCTATTGACACTGCCATGGCATGCCATCCTTGGCAACAGATATTTTCTCTGCCCCTTGGCAGATGAATCAGGATCCTTACACAAGAATTCAAGCTGCTTTAAATGAGTCAGATGGAACAAACAAAGAAAAAAAATACAAATATTTCACAAAGTATTTTTCACTTGATAAGATTCATGGCATCTACATGTATATACTGGTTCAAATACTACCCTCCTTCCCCATTCATTTTCTGGATTTTTTCCTCAAAAKATTGATCTTTCTGCTAAAGACAGTGGCATACATTTTTGTCAACCCCCCCCCCCCCCCGCCAACTTTCTCCCAGCATAGGATTCAAGTTGCTTTATGAATGCCATTTTGGGGGGCGGGGGGCAGTGACTTCCTCCCATTGCTATGCCCACATAGCTATTCAAAGAAAGCAGGAAGGATCACAGAAACATCTGGTTAATCGCTGTTAACCAGTTACAAAAATCATTATAGCAGTGCTGAGATCCACAGAGGCATCTAGGTATAGGGACAAAGCTATGCACTTCTTTTCTGGCTGCTAGAGCTTTGCAGTAAAGTGAGAGGACATCTAGCTCATTCAGCTCTATGATTCTATGATCATTGTGTAGGTCGACATGCAGCTACTGTATTTACCTGAGTATGACACACCATCAAATCTAGTGTGTACCTCATTTTTGAAGGTGCTCATCACAAAAAATTGGATTTACCCTCAAATGTAATGCAGCTAACAGTGCAGGCACAGCATGTAAGGGAAGCAAGCAACATGAGTGAGAAGAAGCTGGGAAGTTGGAGGCCCATTAATGAGGCTTTCAGAAACAAGGGGTGTGTGTGTGTTAAAGCCTTTATGGCTGAACCGCATGGGACTCAGCCAGGGGTGGGGTGAGCAGGAGACCCTGATGGTTCCCCAGAAGGTAAGATCCATGACTAAGCTCCAGGAACGACTGGGTGACCAACTAGGCTCTCCTCCTCCCTCTTGGTGCCACAGAGCCCCAAGACTGCCGCCACCACCAGGAACAACTTTTGAGCACTTTCAATCTCATTGTCCAGATTCCTCGGGCTCTTTCACACAGGTGTGTGATTCTAATGCGCCATCAAATCTAATGAACATCTCATATCTGGCAATTTAATTGGCCAAAAAAGGTGATCATTAGACATGGGTAAATCTGGTATCTCTGGCATGCTGAAATTCAACCACGGGGTGGTTGAATTGTAACTATTGTAAGATATATGGCGTGATTTTAATTGTTGATTTTAATAACGCAGGTTTTAATTGTTTGGGTTTAATTGTAATTGTTCATTTGATATATATGTGCATGGCATCAAATTGCTGCCTATTGTAAGGCCATCTTGAGTCTCTGGGGTGAGAAATGCAGAATATAAATATGCTAAATAAATAAATAATATATTCTTTTCAGAAACCAGATGGTTTGTGATCAGCTAATACACTTCTTGAGTTTTCAGGGATTTAAACATTATTTTTCTACTTTAGGTCTAAAGCTCAGTGTTACATTATACTGACAACTATTAAGAGGACTTTTGTATAGGTGACTGTTCTTGAATCAAGACATTAAGAATATTCCCAAACTGAAATTAAGTCTCCACAACCAAAAATAATTCCCTAGACCTGCTTTAGATGAAGCTTCTATAGGATTGCTTTGGACCCAACCCACTTTATTCTAAGTACGAACTGTGGTTATGTCATACATCTTTAAACATCCCCTGAGTTACAAAAAAGATAAAAAGAAAGAAAAGAAAAGAAAATGATGATAAAAGAGGAATACACTGCATTTTTTTAATTATCAGGTTTAATGAAAATACTGTTGGGTTTTTTTTTTTACCACTGAGGATAAAAGATGGTGCAATGCTTAAAAGATAATTCTAAGTCCAAGAAGGTTTAGTCTAAGGAATTTGAAGCCCGAGGGCACGGGAGGATGTGCAGAATTATTTAATATGATTGAACAAAAATCAGGTAACAAAATGAAAAGGTCTCTAAGCTCTTCCTTTGTTGTAGTTTGTTTTATGTACAATAATAGATGAGGAGAGACTAACAGGTGTTCTGGGTGGTTCAGAGTGGGAATAGAGCAGTTAGAATTTCAGGCAACACTATTCTGAAATCTAATTTTATATACAGTTTCTTCTCTTCGAAATTCCCTGGTTGTCTATTAGCAAAGTCTCCTTCTCACAAACATACAGTTTCGCTTTGTGTGCAGGCTCGTAAAGCTTGTGGCCTACTATTCTAGATGCAGTCTGCCACCCATCAATATAGCTAGCAAGGGGAATGGAAAATAAAGTTGGCATCTATGATGTAAGTTTTTTGCACAGATGTATTAAATTTGCAACCCAGAACCCTGTCTGCAAGTTCTCTCAGCAAATAAAGCAAGGCTTATTAATGATGGCCAAGAGGTTTTGCCGCAAAACTCTACTTCCACTCAGTGATTTTGTGTTGATAAGAGACAAATTCCTCCTTTGTAGCAGCACAGTATTTCTTACAGACTTTCTAGGAGAGCATCTTGAAAGCAGTAATTACTGTATCTACAATTTGATTTATTTTGTGTGTGTATGCATTATTGCTTCATTGTTCCCATAAACTATACTTCCATTATTTATACAGAAGAACAGCATATAACTGTATAACGTAAAGAGCAACAAAAAAAATCTGACTTTTGATATTAGCCCGAGGCTGCCAGAACAGGGTATAGATAGAAGTACTGAATAACTTGACATATTTGGCTAATGGACTAACTTTGGCTTGGTGGACCACATGCTTTGGGATACTGCTCTTGTGAAATGTCCCAGCTCAGAACAAAATTGTATAGGAAAAGTTTCTAGCCTTAAGGATCAAAAACTCTTCACTGCTCATTTTTCTGTTTGTACAGAAAAAAGTAATTAAAAATGTTTCTCAAAAGAACAATGACATGAGGAACTATGGCTTGCTCTACATCAGACTGGATGTGCAACCATGAAACAAATTTAGCATAGCAAATATTATTTAGGTTGTTGTAGGTTTTTCCGGGCTATATGGCCATGTTTTGGAGGCAATTTTTATAGCCTGGAAAAACCTACAACAACCCAGTGATCCCGGCCATGAAAGCCTTCGACAATACAAATATTATTTATTTATTTATTTATTTACCGTATTTATACCCTGCCTTTCTCAACCCTGTAGGGGACTCAAGGCATCTTACATATATATAGGCAACAATTTGATGCCATGTAAAACATAGATATATATTAAAACAATAATTAAAAACGTATCAAACCTTAAAACATTTTTTTAAAATCGCATTATTCAAATACATAGAATATAACAGAGTGTATTCCTTGGGACCATAAGGAAGGTTGAGCGAAGGAAGATAGATGCTTTTGAACCGTGGTGCTGGAGGAAAATTCTGAGAGTGTTTTGGACCACGAGAAGATCCAACCAGTCCATCCTCCAGGAAATAAAGCCCGACTGCTCACTGGAGGGAAGGCTATTAGAGGCAAAGATGAAGTATTTTGGCCACATAATGAGAAGACAATGATGCTGGGCAAAATGGAAGAAAAAGGAAGAGGGGCCAACCAAGGGCAAGATGGATGGATGGTATCCTTGAAGTGGCTAGCTTGACTTTGAAGGAGCGAGTGGTGGCCATGGCCAACATGGAGATCTGGCATGGGCTGGTACATGAGGTCACAAAGAGTTGGAAGCAACTGAACAAATAAACAACAACAACAACTCATTCGGAAATAATAACAGAATTTATTTTATTTTACATCAGGAATCGACTGTTAAGTTTAAGTTCAGGTTTTTGTTTTGTTTTGGGGGTTTTTTTTTAGCTCATTCGCCTGACAATCATGATACACAATTATACTGTAAAAGGCCAAGCCTAACTAGGCACTGACAAAATAACTGGCATTTTTAAAAAAAATCAAAACCAGATCAAACATTAACTGTACTCACTGAACGGAAAACTCAGCAAATAGCTACCAAAATCATTCATGCAAGAATGTATATAGTCAGATAGAAATATATTGGATGTTGCAGAAATCTGTTTTGTAGCAGAATGCACTTCAGAGGTGTTTGACAGATTTTACTCTACCCTGGTAAGAGAAGAACTGTTTTTTTTATTTGAAAGATGACAAAAAATAATTAGCCTACAAAATACTGTGACAAATGGATATTTTAGAAATGTGGACATAAAGAAAGTGAAATAAACCTGAAGCAAATAAACCTGCATTAGTAGAAGCAATTTCCAAGCTGAGGAAAGTAACAGTCCTGCTATATTCTGCACTGATCTGGCCTCATTTGAAGTACTGTGTTCAGTTCTGGATGCCTCATTGTAAGAGGGACTCAAGTTCAAGTAGGTTCAGAGAAGGGCAACAAAGGGGTTAAGTATGAAGAACAAAGCATATGAGGAAAAGTTGAAGGAGCTGGGTTGATTCAGTTCGGTGAAGAGAAGTCTATACATGACATGACTGCTCTCTTGAAATACCTCAAGAGCTACCACAGAGAGACAGGTTTGTTCTCTGCTGCCCCACAGGGTAGATCAAGATCTAATGGTTTTAAGTTACAGCAGGGTAGATTTAAACTGAACATTAGAAAGAATTTCTTGACAGGAAGAGCAGTTCAGCAAAGGAAGTAACTGACTAGAGAAGGAGAGAGGTCTCCTTTTAGGACATCTTCAAAAAAGAGGTTGGGCAGCTATTTGCCAGGGATGCTGTAGCTGAAGATCCTACCTTGAATGGGGAGATGGACTTGATGGCCCATGAGGCAACTATCAACCAGAGGACCTTTTCATCATCCGCCCCAAGAAAACTGTTAATGGCTCATGAGGCAACTATCAACCAGAGGACCT